GAAACATACCTTTCAATTAGGTAATGCTCCGTGAGTATCAGGTTTTTATATTGTTTTTCTAGAAGCCATGCGTAAACGTGACAAGAGGTGACACTAATTCAATGTTATTCAATGTCACCCGGTCCTGCGGATGATTATAAATGTACATCATGTGAAATCATTGTCTTCTTCTAGTTCCTTTCTAGTTAAAAAAGGAAGATGTGATGAGTATCAGAATGATACATGTAAGCCTACACAGTATGGGTGACGTCTTACTGCATGAACATTGCTACAAGAAACGAAGTGTTACCCGAATCTCGAGTAGGAAGGCTCGGATCGGGTCACGGACAACTACTACTAGGACCCGACTAGGGTCGGGTCAGAACACTCAGGAAAATCATAAGTTTTCATAACATGCATTCTTTATATTCCCGCAAATTTTTGGCTTGCCTATTTCTTGAATATGCATAGATTACTAATGGGGAATAGTCTACGGTTCTTCCCGAATGATTTAATGCTACGTTTCTATCATTTTTCCTTTATTAAAGCATAATATGCAATAATGCAGGCTTAAACATTTTTCTGTTTTCTTCTGACCCGACCCGGAATTACCCTACCCGCACACATTTTTTTCTGGCCCGACCCGACCCAAAAGATATAAGACCCGTGACCCGTAACACCCCTTAATTATTAGTTATGTAGCTGTGAACTAATATATATGTGGAGGGGGTGGGGTGGAGGAACACGTCCAATGTAAAATAAACTTCTTACCCCCAATGACAATACGCGGGGTGAAGTTCAACTCACAGAAAACTACTATTCTAGTATATTGAAGATCATGTGTATTTGGGTTTTTGCCTGGACGCCAGCCAGAGCGAAATCTCAATTATAGATATTGGTCCCTATTGTGTAATCTTATTGCTGGCATTCTAAAGCTTAAGAGAAGATAAAGTCCATTAGACTTCACAGAATGTTGATAGGAATAGTTTATGTCTGAACCCTAAAATCTCCCTTACGTGCAATCATTAACAAAAATAACATTATTTAGATAAACGATTATGCTCGTAGTTGCGGTGATTACGTAATAAATTATGACTGGTTAAAACGTACAAGTTGCAATTGTGCAATAAACATAGTTCTTAGGATTACCTGTGCAGTTATCTTCACATTTGAAGATCTTTGAGAATTCCAAGAACATTATCGATCAAAGCAATTAAGAACCAGCCGATCCTTCAAAGGTACGATTACAAGAAGTTTTTTTCTAATGTATCGTGCCACTTTTTTCTTATCATTCAAAGATAAGTAAAATTTTGAAAATATGAAAACATTTTCGAATATATTTGATTTCACCCTTACCAGATGTCACAACATAGAAACGCATGGACACGCACAGCAACAAAGTTCTATTGTAATGACATCATGAATTGGATCATTTATTTTTAGCTAATACCTACTGCCAACCGATGTGTTTATGAGCAAATTGTTGTTGAAACATTTATTCCTTTGATAAAAAAAATGGTAAAGATCAGTGCTTATAAATCTTAATCTTTCGGCTTCCAAATAAAGCCGGTTATACTGATATTCATACAACCGCCAAAATAGAAAAAAACATGACAGGAGATTAGATATCAATATAAAGAGCGTTTAAAGCATAGTGCCGAATATAAAGATGAAATCTTGACAGACGTGAGATAAAACGTTGAATTCTTGATAATTAAGGAAATATAAGATCGGTATGATGATGTGCATGAACAATCGGTGTTTGTTTTAACGTGGCGGGTTTAGTGGTGTGCTGTTAATAATAGTACAATAACGTCATTTCTAAGGGCAATATAGTGAAATATTGGACCTTTGGCCTTCGGCCCTCGGTCCAATATCTCACTATATTGCTCGCAGAAATGACGTTATTAGTATTATAACCACCGTTAACGACCAGGACTGAAACAGCAAGAAAATCTTATGCATTGAACGATATCTAATTTCCCGGGGAAAATTGCCGGTCAAGAATATATTCTATTGCTAGTTTAGAAGGCGTTTATTTTACTATATCGACCTGAGAAATGTGTGACGTCATAGTGGTGGTCCATATGGACCGGTCTAGAATATATTCTGGACCGGCAATTTTCCCCGGGAAATTAGATATCGTTCAATGCGCAAGATTTTCTTGCTGTTTCAGTCCTGGTCGTTAACGGCCATTTCTGCGAGCAATATAGTGAAATATTGGACCTTGGGCCTTCGGCCCTCGGTCCAATATTTCACTATATCGCCCTTAGAAATGACGTTATTGTACTAGTGTGTCTTGTGTGTATCGATGTGTCATTTGTGTTGATGTTTCGCGTCCTTTGTGTAACGGTCTCTGTGTGTAATCGTGTGTTGCGTATAATGTGTTTATGATGTACCGTGTGTAATATAAATTGTGCATAGTATGTGTGTATTATGTGTAGTATGTGTGAGATGGAGTTGTTTACATGTGTATTGATATGTTGCGTGTTATGCCAAACCATGTGTGTTGCGTCGTGAAACCGATCTACGAAGGTATTTACCTTTGAATATATCAGAATAACCGTTCTCTGTTCTATCTTTTTGACATTCAACGTTTTTAGTGAAGTGTTAGCTTGACTTTAGGTGGGTAGCACTGATGATCCACTCGATTACGCTGGTTACCAACAAAATGTCGGAACCTCGAAGGTACTATTTTTCTTTTTTCCTTATATCACTCGTTGTGGGGAGAATTCTCACGACATTTTTATCACAAACGTGTGTCAGTATCATATGTTGAAGAAAATGTACATGTTTGCAAACAAATAGTTCAGAAGACAACAAAATCGTCAATTTAATACCTCACTTAAAGGCTCACTTTGCGTATTTTCAATGTTTTGGGGCAAAATAAAGATTTTTATTTGAATTCTATAGAATGTCCAATGTATTGATAAGAATCTTATCTTTCATTCGACACCAACAACAGCTCAAACAGACCACATCAAAGCTTACAATAAATAATCAAATATACTTTCGTTCTGTCAAGTTTTTATCAATATCATTAAAAGATGGCGAAGTTGTTTGTATTACATGATTCATTTTTATAGAAGTGTCGCCATCTTTTAAATCAACAGTAATTAAAAACATGCACTTTGTTTAGCATGTGCATACATGTCTATAATGATCTCTGAACTTCAAATGCTTATTTCTATGTGAGTTATTTTTTCTTGGTTCAGTATTAAAGAATATCAAACTTTGTTTCATATTTGAGCGAGTGTGTGAGAAATATGTTTCAATGATAATCTTTTTATTTTTTCTTCTAAATTAAGTATAGTGCGCCTTTAAGTTACGTAAACGAAATCGGTTAGAAATGTAGATCTTAACCGTTTTTCGAAGTTCCGTTTACGAACCAGCGTAATCGAGTGGATAAAAAGTGAATAGATTATAGATATAGCGCTGACAGTTCCTTCATGAAAAGATAAGTTTATAAAAGGGCAACATCAAAAGAATGAAAATTCCCTATACACTTTAATCCAAGTCAGTGAAACTTTGTTAATAGACGTTGGACAATAGCTTTTTAATTCCAGTGGGACGGGGTACAGCTTGTTCGTTTAATTGAGTTTTGCAATAAGTTTACCTTACTTAGTGTTACTTAACAATATCGGGTAACAAAACACAGTGCCAGTCTGGGAAGCAATCAACAATCTCGGCGTTTGTCAGTTCTATGCGACGAAGGTCCGTATTCTTTCAACGACATGACAATTGTAACCAATAAAAGCTGCATTTATACGACTTTTTAGCGATTAAAACTTTTTTCATTATATTTACAAGTGACACTATGTAATTGGATTTTCTATCCCTTAATAAGAACATTATTATCCGAGGTGTTAACGGAACGTAACGCTATTCTTCTTGTTAATCCAGGGTACGTTGTGATTTGCATAATTGTATATTATTCTCTTTGACGGCCCATTGTACTTGAGTCTATGTAGCTACCTGACAGGGACGTCTAACTAAGTAAGATTAAAGAGCAAGTCATTGTAAGGTTAAAGCATCATATAACAGGATTAGCGTTTTGCAGCAACGCCACGGTGTGGTAGAGTCATATTAAAGTAACAGAAAGTTTGAAGAGGCAGACATATGAGATTTAATCTAACTCTAGTAATGTTTCAGGATTTGTTCATTTGCAAAATACTGTTCTATGTGGGACACTCCCCTCGTTTCAAACTTTGGAAGCCGTTTCCCACATCGATTACACCATAGTATATCTATTTTCTGTTAAAATCTACTTTAAGGCAAAACATTGAACTAAAATACAATTTAATATAATACAATTACAAAGATAACTTAATGAACTAAATGAAATACAACTGCACAATTGAAATTACTTTTTACAATTTACAGCATGTTCGATGGCGAACTTCTGAAAACCGAACAGGATGTTCAAAAACCGTAGACATTAATTCCAAATAGAAAATTTCATTAGCTTCCTTTTTTGACAAATAGTTGATGAGTTCTTCTTTCATGCACATAAACATGAAGTTCTTAAAAAGGAAATGAGAGAGGAGATAAAGCAGCTAATGAGAGATATGTGGGTATATCGTAACACTAGATCATAGCATTGGAGTATGTCGCATAATTTGCTTGATAAAGCAGTGGTTCAAATCGGTGAAGCATAATTTCTTTGTCATTTCAAATTCACTAATTTCAAAACATCGAGAATGTGATCATACCAGTTAAGTCGTAAAGTGTATCGCAACCCTAAGGATTAAGTGAAATAAATACAAAACGCGATAGGAATTACAAATAAATAAAATACGCGATTTGAATCATTGATAACAGTGTTTCACGTTGCACTGATGGGGAAGAAAACGTCCCTAGCGACGGGCTACATAAAGAATATTACATCTCTAACAAACGAATTATTACCCAAATAACCAACATTCTATTAATTAAGGGAAATCCAAGGCGTCTTTATAATATAAATTGCTTCATTTAGTTCTTTTCTTCTCTTAAAGAGTCGTGTTGTATTTGCCGAAAGATTGAAAAAGATTGCGATTAGCTTGTTAGCAGACTTTGTGCGAGCTAATAGACAACAAAAAGTAAGAGGAGATGCTCCTTGAAAACGGATACAAATTGAGTTATATCAACGGCTAACTCTGTTCAGATCATAAATAAGCACGTATCGAAACCGAATCTTATTTGAACAGTTTTATACGCCTACAAGAATAGGAGCGGTGATAAACGCTAAACGATTCAGAGTCCTGTAGGGAGCTGCCCTAATGTGTCAACATTAGTATAGTAATTGTGAAAATATAGCAGAAATAACATCGTTTGCCATCTCTAGAAGTGTCCTTGGATTAATGCTAACAGGGGATTACTGGAGATCATGAGCTCTGATACCTTCTCTGGTTAACAATAAGGCGATACGCTTTGTTAGGATTATTCTTTATTTTCCTGAAAGTTTTCTAAATTAGAAAATCGTGTAAGTTAAGTGAATCTGGGTCTTATACAGACAGTTATGCAAGGCAGGTCGGTGGTTTGATATTCGTTTAACATTGAAACAAACGCGAGGATAAAATTGCATTCCGTGGGAAGGAAAGGCTAACATAGCATTTCAGGTAAGTTTCTAACGTGAACTACTAATATTATGTAATGTCCGTATTAAGTAAAAGTGATATCCCGACTCGGATGAAGTGAATACATACATCATAATATTAGATATGTTCATATATGTATAATGATTAATGCGTTTATATAATGTTTCATTTCGCATGCGTTAGTACTCGAATTTGTCGAAAAATAAAAATAAGGGGAAAGTTAATTTTTGGGAAAATGTGAAATAAATAGGAAGAAATAGAATTTGGCTAAACATTGGCCATATTAAGATCTGAAGATTTTGAAAGAAACGAAAATAAAAGTATTATTCAATATTGAAATTAGAAGAATTATCACGAATATTTGATTTTATACACGTATCACTACGATATACGTATTCTGCAACTTAATAAAAAACATACAGCGGAATAATAACAAATATCTACTGACGTAATGTAATAAGAACTAAACATTCTATTTTATTTTCTGCGAACCACTTTGCGCTGGTTTTCCTATGCAATTACTTGTAAATTGTACCTTGAAAGGAAATTTAATTGAAGTGTGATTGCAAAAGTTAATAAAGCTGCAGACAAACCCTTAACAGCCTGGTCGAGATAACCAGAAAGAGCGAAAGAAGAATTAGTAAACATCAGCTTGTGAAGCCTTATTCTAATTACTCACTAAAGACAGCTGCGTAGATTGACGAGCCTGTTGGTCGTGAGTAGTGCAAAAACTAATTGTACGGGTCTATTGGTCTCTAAATTGGGCGGTTATGGACAGGGGGCAATTGGAAAAGAGGGTTGAAAAAAGACTTGGACTCCTTGTCAATGGTAGTCACGTGAACGACGCGAAATATGTGTGCATCTTCTTTTTTGATTCCTTCAACAAGTCAACTTACCAGAGACATCAAATGGAATCAACGGCATCTAAAGATTATTGTTTATATCGCGCTCAAGGTTGATATAGCGATTAGCGGAGAAGTGTTCTAGATATAATTAAATTAATCTTAGAAAAAGTGCTAATAACGAGATACTTCACGCTGTTATGGACATCTATCAAACACGATAATGCGTCCTTTCGGATTTTGGGATTTAGCTTCATATATTATCCGCTTCTCTCGCTTGAGTTCTTTCAAGATGAGAGATGTGAGGAAAACCCATTGCTAGTAATTAGTAATTTATTGGTGAAACGGACGGCAAATCTGGCGTATACGACTTGGCACATATGCCACTGTTCAGAGACCAATAATACTCGAGATACTTCAGTAGAATATGCAATATTAGATACAATTGTTAGGTTGCAAGAGAATGCACAAAATTGGATATAATAGTCGTTACATCAAAACAACAACGGTAAGTTCCAAAATCCAAACGAATATGCAATATCAGATACAAGCGGAACAACAATGGTATAAGTTACGAGAGAATGTGCAATATCAGATACGATAGTTGTTACATCGGAAAAATCAGATACAATGGTTGTTACATCGGAACAACAATGGTTAGTTGCAAGAGAATGTGCAATATCAAATACAATAGTTGTTACATCGGAACAACAATGGTTAGTTGCAAGATTATGTGCAATGTTAGATACAATAGTTGTTACATCTGAACAACAATGGTTAGTTGCAAGAGAATGTGCAAAATCAGATACAATAGTTTTACATCAGAACAACAATGGTAAGTTGCAAGAGAATGTGCAATATCAGATACAAAAGTTGTTACATCGGAACAACAATGGTAAGTTGCAAGAGAATGTGCAATATCAAATACAATAGTTGTTACATCGGAACAACAATGGTAAGTTGCAAGAGAATGTGCAATATCAGATACAATAGTTGTTACATCGGAACAACAATGGTAAGTTGCAAGATGATGTGCAATATCAGATACAATAGTTGTTACATCGGAACAACAATGGTAAGTTGCTAGATGATGTGCAATATCAGATACAATAGTTGTTACATCGGAACAACAATGGTAAGTTGCTAGATGATGTGCAATATCAGATACAATAGTTGTTACATCGGAACAACAATGGTAAGTTGCTAGATGATGTGCAATATCAGATACAATAGTTGTTACATCGGAACAACAATGGTAAGTTGCTAGATGATGTGCAATATCAGATACAATAGTTGTTACATCGGAACAACAATGGTAAGTTGCAAGAGAATGTGCAATATCAGATAGAATAGTTGTTACATCGGAACAACAATGGTAAGTTGCAAGAGAATGTGCAATATCAGATACAATAGTTGTTACATCGGAACAACAATAGTAAGTTGCAAGATGATGTGCAATATCAGATACAATAGTTGTTACATCGGAACAACAATGGTAAGTTGCAAGATGATGTGCAATATCAGATACAATAGTTGTTACATCGGAACAACAATGGTAAGTTGCAAGAGAATGTGCAATATCAGACACAACTGTCGTTTGACAACAACAGTAGGGTACAAGAGAACAAGAAACGAAGTAAGAATGATCTGGTAGAATAAAATGGAGACTTTAAAAGGTTATTATAAATTGGCTATGAATTACAGTATATTAGTCTCGTTTATATTCCTCGCATCCTAATTAATTGCAGCCATTTAATAATCATGGATACATGGTTCAGACCATATGCCATGATGAAATGGGTGACCAAGAAAAATACAGCCCTCTTATTTGAGAATGTATTTTCTCAATTCTGAGGGAATTCTCACGAATTTTCTTGTGTAGAAAAAATGCTCAATGCGTCAAACTATTTGAACGACTTCGAAATGTAACTAAGAAAAAGTCAAACCATTGTATTGTATTGGAATTGGCACACTTATTAGAGTAATTAAGATGAGAAACGATATAATATTTTACATCTTTAGTACTTTGATGTAATCTTAGACGGAAAGTGTTGTTTCCTTCGTTTTTCTGATGCAATTTAAGAATACAAATATATCCCACTGAACACCAATAAAATAGCATGTATATATTCTCCGTCTGATTAGTATGAGTTGTTCCCCGATTCATGTAGTATTCTAGTATGTTCATCCGTCAATATACATTTAGACTCAACGTTGGATAATATTATTCATTGGTTTGGAGGGATTAATTTGAATCGCGGATGTATATGGAGTAGATAAGTGGTGTCTGATGTCCTTTAATCCTGCAGTTTGTCAGGATTAACAAACTTCTTTTATATTAAGTAACGTGGCAGAATATCTGCTGATCTGTTCAATGCAATGCTAAAATAAAAAATATGTTTCAATCATGACAATGAAATGGATTCTCTGAACTTTGATAGGAAGATGTCAGTAAGTGATTTGATGCTTAATTAAAAGATATAGATTCGTTTCCAATCGATTGTAACCTCTCTATGAGATGCCTGGATTTGGAAGTCTCATTTCATATGGACGTCACGTCGCTTCTATTTCGAATTTGTTTCATTTCCAAGTTATTCGCTATTAACGATGCAATCCTAGAAGACTGAACTATTACTTTCAATTTGACCAATTCTAGCGATGCATTCATTTAAATCATACAAAAATCATAAAATAATTTTGACGACACTTCGTGATTAGGTTTATTATAACTCTATATTGATTTCCGATCCGATGTGATGAATTCTATAAGAGATCAGAGGTCAAATTTAGTCTCGTCCAAATGGAAACGGCGAAAAACGTTCTTATTTATTGCACCAATTTATATTTTGAAATGTACATATGTCCAAAAATGGATAACTAGAGTTAGAGTCACTCTATAGGGTCTGCTAAAATTGTCTGGAAAATTGAGAGGCAAATCATGATAAATGCCGCAGGAACTGAGACTTGACGGTTAATAGTGAGAAATACATTACTAGATCCGAGGACCATACTTCATTCGATTCCTGCAAAGATGCATCCAAGTGAAAATAAATCTGAACATTTCAGTTGTAATATTTCCTTTCGTGAATTTTATACAATTATGCACCATACTCGACCTTTTTAGTTAGCATCGGAGTTCCTTTATATTATATAAGTATTACAACAGTCTGATTAGACTTAATATAACACATTGTTACCCCTAATGTGAAAAGTGACTTTAAATGATCTCAGACACTTATTTCATAGACTTGAATGATGAAAATGTACTCTAATGCGAGAATTCATTTCAAGCATTAGCGACTCATATGGCGTCCATCATTGACTTATAAGGAATGGTGTCGAGGACCTCGCATACACTTCCGTTTGCGGAAGTTTGTGTCATTTAGCAGCCGTAGTATGAAGTTAATAAAAGGCAACTCGATTGGACTGAAGATATAATTTCCCTGAATCAGTGACCATAGTTTCCTCAATTAAGATCTTGCCCATCTTGGTATTACTCTTGATGCTTCAAAGGTTCTATATGGCCCTTGTATACTGACCACGATTTCGTTATATTGCAAATGTTATCAGACGTACATCTCAAGTTGTACTAACTTTCCCCGATTCTTATTTACCCTTGATGACCTTGATTCCGACCCTAACCCCAACCATCACATTGCGATGTATTCACCCTATAACTATCGACCCACTTTCACACTAACCCCCTTGAGAAAGGCCGCCTTGCTTCTCAATTTTCTATCGTTGACACCTTCCACTCTGACTAACTCCTACTCCTCGACACCCTCTCAATCTACTCATGTGTTGTGTTATATCTACTCATGTGTTGTGTTATATCTACTCATGTGTTGTGTTATATCTAATTTTCGTTGTTGCACTCTCTCACTTATTGGTAGTTGTCGTCGATCGGATATTTTGATTTAGTTAGAGATAAGACCATGTAAATGTCAAAATGTCACAGTTGTAATAGCTGAACCTTAGTCTGAAAACTTTATCACAAGTTGAAGATTGGAAATCTAATTAATTTGCAATACAACTCCTACAATATCAGCCCCTCAGACTCATAGGCAGTAGACTATTCGACCTATCTGGTCGCAGACATAAACTGAAAGAATACTTCGGTGGAGTTTTTGCAATTTCTTGCTTTTTGAAAAATGTGTTAAAATTAATGCAAAGTTTTGGTTTCATATTTTCCAATACCTGAAGATCTGGTAGCCAGTATGGTGATAAGATAATACACAACTACTACTTTGCGGTAATTAAACAAACATATAAATAACCCATTTTCTGGCTTTCTAAGTTTCAAGATCAAAGGGGGTCTGGATTTCCTGTTACCTCAACATGATTGTGAAGAACGCTAAATCGTTTATATTTTAGTGAATGTGTAAAAACATGTTTACATCAATTTACCGTCTTGTTTCAGGCTTAACTGTCGAACACAAGGATAGTAAGAGGAAAAAACGGAAAGGGTCCAAGCGGAGTACATCCAGTGCTAGTGAGGTTTCAGAGGTTGCTGAACCTGATGTGGACACGACTCCGACCAGAGAACGTGAAGAACAGACGGATAGGCGACTAAATCCCGTCAAGGTTGACCACAGTCAAACAACAACAACATATGAGGATACTTTCGATGGTGTTCTTCAATCTCACAACAAAAGTAATCACCAAGAACCAAATTCCGTACATAGACTTCAATATAATTCTACAAATCGTACTAATCACGAAAGAACTTATGTACCTTATACACAAGATCCTAACGCTGTGAATACGCACGCTCAGGATTCTTTCAGTGATGAGTCTTCTGATGCGTTAGAATACAGCTCTCATCATGGATATACAAATAGTTATAAACCTGTGTACCCAGGTATAAAACGTGGACAGCCAACAGTCCCTGAAGTAAGTGATAATACATTTGATATAATAGGAGAGAGTGTGGACGCACGGTTCCCCTGGCAGAGAGATATAGCAGTGCAATGCAAAATGGGTTCTAGAAAGAAAAAGTCTGATTTTGCCAAGGGGCGGAGTATGTCCGCGTCTTGTGCAGACATGTCCCCCGATAATGAACTAGACGATACGGCCAGCGTCACTGACCAACGACACTCAATCTGTGTCACAGAGCCTTACTTTGACAAACCAACAATAGACAATAGGAGGACGGCGTCCGATCTTGCCATTTACCAAGCTGGATCTCGACGCAGGTCCGGGCGACGCAGGATCCCTCATGTTGTCGAGGAAGTCTCGCGTGGCCAGGATTCAGACTCTGAAGAGGACGAGATAATGCGAGAATTAATGATAAGGTAAGATTATTGCGCAGTTTAGGTTGAAGTCATTTAGGAAATATGGATCGGTAGATTTTGTTTCATATAAGTTTATACAAGGTGATTATAGAACTGTGTGATAAAGGTAGCAAGTAAGGTTCTAAAACTCTCGAGATTTTACGGATACTGAGATAACCTCTTGAACTGAAAGAGGCGCGGAAGGCAATGCATCAGATCGTATCGTGAAACCATGAGCGATATGATAAGTCGTTTAAAATCTTCAAAACCTTCCAGTGTCGCCCCATTAACGAAATGAGATTTCTAAATAGGATTTGGTAGCAAAAATGTTACACAAGGGAAATTTTAAAACAAATTATGTGATCTTGCTGAATTATGTAGTCTTCGGTTGACAATTCAATTAACAATGTAAAAGCAATGAAACAATTTACGTTCGCAATTGTATTGTGTTTCGTAAGGCAATAAAATGTCATGTTGATAAATAGGTCCCCATATAGAATCACGTAATGAAAGCATTTATAGAGATAGGATGTAACACTATGGAAAACTTAGACCATCAAGCGATAATCACTGCTTTCTAGTTTCTTTGATTCTCAAGGCACTTCGCCTTTCGCCATTATTGTTAATCATGCCTCAGATTATGATAGCAGCAAACTTATTAGCCCCCGAAGCATGCGAATGAATTCCATTCTAGAAGTATTTCACAAGCTTAATACGATCTCGAAGCAATTTTCGGTTGTTATTTCACCATACGAGACCTACCAGGCAGAGGCGGAATATTTTGTGGATCTTGTAGACCTACGGGGATTTCAATTCTACAAATAACATGTCATATTCGAAACAACTGTACACGCCGACTTTGCTTTCACTCCGATTATTTATCATCCATTCCCAATGAATGGCATCGTTGTGCCTCGGTCATTGTACATTCATTGCGAATCTTTTCGGGTACACTCAACCTGTCTACCCCGTTTTTGGAATATAGTTCTGTCTAGGCGTTGCACCAATAACGTTGCTAACCGTTGATTTTATTTTTATTTCGATTGTTCCATTTTAAGAGAGATGATTCATGGTTTAAATCATTACTTTTGTTTGATTATTTTCTTTTACTCAAAGGTTTTATTCCGCAGTGATTTCTTCTTAGATATCAATGATTTTGAATATATTTTGACAAAATAAGAATTGAGCAAGACAAAATAATACGAAGAGAATTTAACACGTCAATATGAAAATACATAACGGAATAAATTTTCGTCAGATTCTGATCTTCCATTTGCCCGCCGCAGAGTCAACACTGAGACATGGGAAGTTATCGTGTAGACTTTAAATAGACGATCCCGAAATATCTTTGAGATATTCCCGATTACCATTTTCACAAATATCATCGCTTCACAAAGATGTCGCTTACACATGTCCTTCGTCATTTAATATCAATGAATTCTCAAGTTAGCATGGGCTTTAATTTGAATCAATGCATGTACGATAAAATGGCCTTTTCGAATGTGTGTATGTACGATAAAATGGCCTTTTCGAATGAGTTTATTCACGATAATATGTCCTTTTCGAATCAATGGCCTGTGTGAATCAAAATCTGTATGAAAACACGAGTATTTCTGATCAATGTACATTTACATATACATATTATATTGTACATATATGGAATTAGAACCCTTTTATGGTGAAGTAACAGTCTGGAAGTAAAACTTAATATGATTAATAGATGGCAGTGTGTTTTCTGTTAGTTTTCACAGCTATCAATTGTTTAGGTAACCCATTCTGATAATGCTCATAGCATCTTCCTGTTTCACTTGAAACATCTCAGGGCTGAGAAGAAATGAGATGTCATGATTTATCATGATGAAGGTAACCCAATAAAAATGAGTTTATACCTTCATAATTAAGCCCACTTTATAATTCCTCAAGCAATGCTCACATCGTTATGCCGCTGGGTACATTAATTCAGTTTCTAATAACTTAAGGGTGATTCTCATTTGAATCAGACTTCAAGGACATAAATGCCAAATTCAAAACCAATTCGATCATCTGAGACTAAATCTCCGTATCTAGAATAGAATGAAGCAAAATGTTGTTTTTATAGCAGATTGTCCTATCACGTGTAGTACGGTCCAACGTAATGAGTCTGGGTACAGAAAACGTTTGTGTCTAGCCCTGCGGTATTTATTCGTCGATATAATACCTGCTCCTCGGTCTTATTTCTTAATTAATAAATGAGTGATATATCGTACAAGCAATTCTGATAGCATAAAAGAGATTCATGTACGATATGATTATAAATCTGTACATTCTTCGGGTCATTATACGTCCTCCCACAAATGTATGGCTGCAATGTCCGTTGTAAGAGATGGCTATAGAATTTCGAATAATCGCATTATGACTTAGTAACCCTATGTCTTCCTTCGTTACGTTATTGATAATAAGAAGTACAGTTATACGACAAAACAACTTGGGGAACAAAAACACCGGTCTGTCGGTATACAATTTCGTGGAGTGGGTGTATCAACTCGTACAATGGTCAATGGATTGACCAAAGATTTGATTCCAACCCGTGGACCTTGCAGAGAAGTCCATTTATCTAAATATACCGAACACAGGACTTAATAGTCTCAAGGAAAACATTCCTTTTTGTCTTGGATTGGTTCTTGCTTTGTAAGTCAATACTTTGAGCATATTTTCCAATTTATCGTTCCTTTTCAAATATTGACGCAACGTTGCTAGTATTTGTACACGGGCTAGTAGACTATAGCACAGCAGTCAGAGGATAATGAAGATATACATTCACTTGAGGACAAATATAAAAACAACTAATTAATTTAACTGCGAAGTCAGAAGAAACTAGAAAAAAACAATGAGTAGGTGCATGTTTGTAAATCTGGTGGAGAGGTGATGATTAATTGGAAACTTTAATTCTGCAATTCTCATGGCTTCATTGACAGCTTCATAGGTGAATATTATATATAGATCGCTAGTATTGGTAATAGAACAACAGGTCCAAGACGCTTCAATCACGTTTTCAGATTGCTGGAAGTGCTAATTGTTTCCCTTTGATTATTTCAACTGATTATTACACATTGACGGAATGGCCTTCCGTGGACTCGGATATTGTAGCAGATATAAAGACGTTATGTTCACCTGAAAGCACCAGTTCTATATAAGAACATGAAACATATAGAAGATATACAAATACATTTGAATGACGTTGATATTAATATAATTTCCTTTCTAATGCATTAATGGATACCTGATCAGTTGGAGTTCACTATTACTGCGTCACAGTCACAACTGACCAGAAGAACTACACGTGAGAGACAGGATCTAAAATTAGACAGACAATTCTAGCAGACGAGGCGAATTCAAAATTAGGCTATTTGAAGAAGGATATTTTTACCTTTTGACTCTATATCCATTTAGCATTATTTTTTTGCTCTGTCAGTTGAAAGAAGTCCGGAAAACATATTTGTTTTTGAAATGTCGGTGAGGCCTTTGCCTCGTCGCTGCCTCACATATTGCTCGTTGCCTCGCCTGTCTCTGTCTCATGAATTGCTATGCCCATGGTGACAGAAACAACCGACATATGTACGTTCAATGTCCCGTTATACTAAAGAAACTAACACAGTCTCACTCTGTTAACAATTTAAGGACTTGTTTTGTCAAGGCATCTCCAGCAGGGGTAGAAACGAAAGTCTCCTCTTTGTACACTACAACTTGAAAATCATTAGCAAGTACTTCATCAAGTGAATTATTAATAGAATTACTAATAGACTCATTAAGTGACAATTCACTTATTTACTTATTAGTCTTCTAATAATCACTTAAATTATAATTCAGAATTGTTTTCTTCGGGTGACAATTTTTCATTCTTTCCATTTGACTAGCTCTGACTACATCTACAATAGCCAGATTTAACCAGATTTCATCAAATGATTCGTTTAATGTTATGTAAACGACTATATTGGAAGAGAGGCTTGCAAGATTGTTATTCAATGATTGATAAGTTAATCGAGACTCTACTCTTGTGTTTCACAGAGATTGAAAATTACATTATTAAATCTGAAAGGATTTAATCATTCCAATAAAGTCATAGTTACTAACACGGCGAACTAGGATCTCTGAGATGTGAATATCAAGCAACTTTAGACGTATTATATAATGAATGAACGGTGGCTTTACAAGACAACCGTCAGAGATGTGACAGCAAAGTTTAACATGACACCCAGTGTTGTATTCACGAAGACAATGACGTGCTGTTCGCCAAGATATATAATGTTAAGTTCGTAGTATTATATCGTTATATACTCTCTAATATTAAAGTGAAAATGAACGGTAATTGCATGAAGTAGAGGCAGGAGATGATGTATCTTCCGTCGTGTTTACAGGAACAGACATCTCCGATCTGCCAGACAAAATTCTATGTCAATTCTGAATTGTTCGAAGTGTTTGGGTAAGTAAACGTTACAATCGTAATTGGACACACAAAAACATTAATTCATTTATCAGTTTTACTTTATGACAAAATGATGTGTAGTACTTTTTGGCATGAATGAAAATATTCTCTCTTAAAAAAACACAAAAACCCAACAAACTATGGTATTAGAATAATAGTGATAATCCTCTACAAATTTTAGATATAGTTTTTTTTTATTCTATTCTACCCCTAATTTTTCAATCACTAATTAGATTTATATTCTGTTGCTATGTGCTTGGTAGAATAATGGACCGAAATTATCTTGGAATAATACCAAATCAAGTACATCTCAAAATATGAGTGTCAGACAAAAACAAGTTCAACTTGAAATTGTTGATTGTTAATAGATTTACGCGCGCGTTACATTGATTTCAATGGGTTTCGCGATTCCTGCTATCTTTGCATGTAAGTACAGTTCTAGAAAAACCTTTACCTTGATTTTTATTTACTTGAAAGATAATACCAACATTATTGATATCCGACAAATAATGAAAAATCAGAGGGGGAGTCCAAATGCCGCCTTCCTTGCGACTTAGTG